GCCCCGCGCAGTGCCAGGCGCCCGCGCCGTCCCCGCCGCCCCCGCGCCCGAGCCCGCCGCCGCCGCGGCCCCCGCCGCCGCCGCCGCCGCCGGCGCTCTTCGTGCGCACGCCTGTCAAGTTCACCTCGGCAGTCGACATCGACGTGGACCGCCGCGATCTGCCTCGGATTCCTCAATCCTTCCTCGGGATCTCCCACGAGTGGCCGTACGTTGAGGAGCTCTCCAACCAGCCCTCATACATGGAGATACTGAAGCTGCTATCCTCGTACGGCGGCGGGCCGATGATCGTGCGCGTCGGCGGCGGCAGCAGCGACCTGCAGACGTTCGTGCCGGGGAAGAACGTGTGGGACTCCCTCAACCGGCTGCACAAGGCGACAGGGGCGAAGTACATAATAGGGCTCAACTTTGAGCACGGGGATGTGGATCTGGCGCGGCGGCAGATGCGCGCGGCCAAGGCGGGGCTGCTGCCCGGCAGCATCCTGACGTTTGAGATTGGGAATGAGGTGCGCGGTTGGATGCGGGGCACGTACCGTGTGTGTGTGTGAGAGAGAGAGAGTGTGTATATGTGTGTGCAGGGGATGGGTGAGCTGGGTGTCCCTGGCAACAGGGGCGCTCGGGGTGGCGGTATGAGGCATGGCAGGGGGTGCCTCGGGCGAGTGGGCGGCACAGGAGTGGCCTCCTGACGAAGCCTAGGGAGGGGCGGCCGGGTATGCCGCTTGGGGGCCAGGGGAGGGCAGCGGCGTGCAGCGGCCGGGGCGGCAAGGAGAAGCTGGCAGCTGCTGCGGTGCTTGGGGCAGCTGTTTCGAACAGCGGCCGCGCTGCAGCCGAGCTCGCATCTAGGCTACCTCAGCCACAAACAAAAATCGCGCCGCTTGTGACGCAACCTGCGACCAACACTTACCTGCCCCTCCAAACCGAATCCTCCTCACCTGCAGCCAAACTTCTACAAGAATAAGAACGGCCACAGCTTCAACGACTACATTGGCTGCTGCTTCATCAAGGAGTGGAACTGGTTCGCGCAGTACATGTCCTGCCAGGACCCTTCAAAGGCCACCGACCAGACCTGCCAGCTGGCGCAGTTTGCGGGGCCGGCGTGGGGGCACATCCACATGTACCCGACCACCATGGACTGGTACCTGAAGTGAGCGGGTTTTTGGGGGGTGCTTGTATGGGGGCCGGATTGGCTGTGCTGGGGGTTGCTTTCAGTTCCGCAGGAGAGGGGGGCCCTGTGAAGGTGTCTCGCGTGGGGCGAAATTTTTTGGGGCGCGTGGTGCGGGGCAATCGCTGCGCACACCCGTCCACTACGGACTGGCGTTCACAGAGAGCAGGGCTTTTGATTGTTGCAGGTCGGGGTGGCTGCAGTGGAGGTCTCGGTTGAGGCCTTGACGCCGGGGTGCAGCCCTGGATTTGGCCCTGGAGTCCATATGCAACGTGGAGCCAGCCGCGCTGCTGCTTCAACCAGGCGCCACCCCCCAAACCCCAACGCACCCGCCCAAAATCGCGCTCCGCCTGTGCCATGCCATCGCCCGCCCCAACCCTGTCGCACCTCTGTCGTCATTGCAAGCAACCATCCCGTGTCACCCACTCGGCACCAACATTATCACACCCTTACGGCACAGTCGCACTAACCAACACCCCCGACCCTGCAACACCGCGCGCGTCTCGCAGGGGCGTCGGCAAGTGGGTGGACATGACGACTGTCCACTGGTACAAGGCCACCAAGGAGACCTACAACACGGCCACCACGCTGCTGGACGAGTCGCCGATTCGCAAGGAGATGGCCAACCTCAAGGAGCTCGTGAAGGTGGGCCGCACTGCTGCATCCTTGCTGGGCAATATGTAAATTGAGGGATTGTGTGTGTATGTGTGTTTGTGTGTGTGTGTGTGTGAGAATGTGAGGGTGTGAGTGGGTGTGTGTGTGAGGGTGAGCTTTTGTGTGTTTGTGTGTGTGTGTGTGCGCGTGCGTGTGCGTGCATGTGCATGTGTGTTTGTGTGTGTGTGTGTGTGTGTGTGTGTGTGTGTGTGCGCGTGTATGCGTGCG